TCGTAGTACTCTTCTGACAAGGTTGCCGACTGATCAGATCGGCGCGAGCCGCGTCTGCCTGTCACGCGTCAAGTTAGTAGGGCCGGCGAGTAACGTCCGATCCCGGCTGCAGGCAGTGACGACACAAAAAGGATCGCTCCGTACAGAGACTGTACTACAAACAACCTGCGCTAATTTGATCAGCTAGCGCTAGCTGCGAAAGTGAGCCGAAGCAGAACTCTTCCGGACTCCGGAGCCGGCCGGCCGCCAGCAGTGACATGTGTACGAGCTGACCGGTCGGCCGCATCGAATCGCTTCTGCATGGAATCTGTCGTCTTTCTCTCGCCTTTCCCTTGATGTCGACACTGATGTCCACACTCACCCGAAGCTCTCGGCAAGACCGGCAACTTGCAAGACGACTCATGAGGCAAGACTGCTTTTAGACTTGAATGCCTCTGCTCCTTCAGAAAAAGCTCTTGAAGGACTGCTAGTCATAATCGCCACTATGTTTTGTAGACCACGCGAACTTGACGGTAATCACATTATGCTCGACCTATTTGATTCGCGACCCACCACACGATTCTCTAACGATGTGTCGTCATTGCAATCATTGGGACTGGTCCGAAAGAATGACGAACACGCATTCTTTCTCACGTGTTATATGAGATTTCCGGTAGGTTCCTCTTTCGTGACGAACGGCGTCGTCACAAATGCGTCTGCAGTTGTAAGCCTCCCACCCGGCGGGGCTTGCCCACCAAGGGCGTCAATTCTTAAAAAGGCGCCGAAACGATTTAGAAAACCCTTTTTCACGCAATCTGAATCGCGCTCTGTAACTTCGATCTCAAATTCGGACCTAAATCTCACCCCAGCAGGTGGGCTCTCACAACGGGAGACTCTGCCACCAGAAATTCACCATCTAATCACGAGGTTTTCATACCAGGAAATCTACAAAAACCCGGCGGTTCCTCTCATCTCACAGTTCAGAATGTTCCTACAAAATGAACTAAATGAGCTCGACAACTGTCTGTTGAAATACCAATCCCCTGTCTACAAATCCTGCCCGCTAAAACTCCGAACTTATAAAAACGGCCGCTCAGAAATCGTTAAAAACACTGATCACCCCGCTTATGAGAAGTGGGAGTCCCTGATTAACAGAGTTCACTTCGATCCTGCTTATGCCACCACCCGGCTGACGTTCGGCTGGAAAGGATTTTATCTTCCCAAAGGCAAAGTCTCAAGCCAAAGAGACAAATATGCTTATTTCACGTTTGCTTACGTCACAGACCTATTCCTCGGGGCGCTACCATTATGGCCCACTGATGCCTCTTCTCAATTTCAGTTAGATCGGAAAGATCCTCTGCGGCATTACACCGTCGATAATGTCAGGTGGCTCAGTAAATCAGATAATATGGCTAACAAGCCTTCCACAGGGAAACCCACCGGTTCTCACTTTAAATCCACCAAAGACGTCATCAGATTGCTACACTCGTGCGAGCGAAACAATCTCATTACCTCAGAAATTCTCGGAGCGCTCACAAAAGGATATGGAACATAGGCTTATATCTCTGATGGGTCCTAAGTTGCGACGCAACAATAGGACGGGTGGTGGCGGGCCATTAGAAATCACAAATTTTCCGTCGAATCATAAAACTCGAAAACTCAGGACTTTCTTTCTCACTCTACAGCTCGTGCACTCACGTGCACGAGGCTGACAGTCTGCTAACCAAAAAACTCCTTCCTTTTCGACCTTTATCATTCGGCCGAAAATATGTACTTTCTAATGCAATCAGAAAACACATAATAAACAACAATTGCAGTAACCTCCTCGCTGCGCACCTTCGTTCGAAGGATATCTGCAGACTTCTCTC